TATTTAATATTTATATTACTTATTCATGATTCATGAGTTATATAATTTATTAATATCATAATATGAATCTATATATTTGTATATTTATCTTATTTCTGATGATTTAATATATAATTATTCATTATTTATTATTTATCATCAAAAAATTATAATTTACTTCATAATTGATTTTTATTAATTTTAAATGATTCATTAATCATATTAATTCAATTATGAATATTATATTTTAATAATGATATAAATATTTTCATAATTACATTTATACAATTGATATGATGTTAATTAATAACATCATTCATATCATTTCATTTGTTGATTAATAATGTTCTTCAATTTACCATATTTAATTTGATGAATTCAATGAATAAAATAAATAATGACATAATAAATTGAAATATTACATATGCCAGTATCATTAAAAATAACAATAACAAAATAAAAGGATAATAAATACTCTAAAAATAAAAAAGAGAACGTTCTGTTAATAAAAACAGATAAATTACAGTTATTTTCAATCACACTACTTCCACCTATGTCTTACCTCCCATACTTTGTAACTTATTTTTGTAAACAATTGAAATGAATATCCATAATCACAAAAAAGTAATAATAAAACATATTATTGTAGTTCTATAAATTATTTAAAATATAATTCTAATAATTTAACAGTAAATTATTAATAAACTAAATACTACTCTACTGAAGTTATTCTTCATTTTTATTAAATCTTAAAAAAGAACTTCTAATTACTAATAACAAAAATGGTTCATTTAGAAAATGTCTTTTTAAAGAATGTACTATTGTATTTACCAACATTAAAAGATGTTGGGAGATTTACACAAGTATGCAAATCATGTGAAGAAGCAATCAACACGATTTATGTTAATCCATATGAATTAACAATCCATCACTCATTTGATGAAATTATTCCAGTATTTCCTAATTTGCAAACATTTTATGTTAGAAGATGTCCAGAAAGATTATACAAAATATCAGCAAATGATATTCCACTAATTGAAATTGGAAGGTGGAATGAAACATCAAAACAAACAAAAGTTTTTAATACAAAATGGTTTTGTTCAAAAATAAGAAAATTACGAATAAGTATTGATTTTTGTATGAAATTTCAATTAAAACATCCAGAATATTTCACACAATTACAAGAATTAGTTATTTTAAATAACAACGACTTAAATATAATAACAAAATTACTTGAATTACCAACATTAAAAAAAGTAATTATTTTTTGTAATATTAGTGAATTTCAAAAATATTTTGAAAAAGTTGAGTTTAATAAATACAAACAAATCAATTTCATTATTATTTTAAATGAGTATGGATTTACAATTAATAATTTATTAAAACAAATTGATTATAGTCAATTTGTTAATTGTACATTTTACACTAGAATATTTAATAAATCAACAATAAATTTACCTTATTTACCACTATTACCATATGAAAATAAATTTTTAATAAAATTTAAAAAACAAAACAATACTGTTACTATTGAAAGTGATGTTTTAGATAAAATTAATGAAATTAATGAAATAATTGTAAAAGGTGAAATACAAAATGTTATTATTGAAAATATTTTAAAAGAGTTTGAAGGAAATCAATTTGATTTAACAACATTACCCATTGAATCATTGTCGATAACAAAAGTTAAAAAACAAAGTCTTATTATTATTATTCCACCAAATTTAAAGTCATTAACAATTAACAGTTGTAAGTCATCAATTGATATTTCAAAATGTCATTTAAAAAAGTTAGTATTAAATAATTACCATGGAAAATTAATAGAGATACATGATGACAATTTAGAAAAGTTGAAATTAGTTCTAGACAGAAGTAAATGGTATCATAATGGGACATACTAAAGAAATGAAATTATGTAGATACATTAAATACTTCA